AGCATGAGATGCAGTTGCAAGAACTCCTAGATGCATGCTCTGACTAGAAATCACAGATGAAGGCATGCTGCTCTGAAGAGGAGCAAGACGCCTCACACCAACACGTAATTCTCCATTGTTCCCTCTATACACACAATTTTATTTAATTAAGGCTTGCATAGTCTGAATAGTTAAACTCTTATATGATTTTACAGTAGAAGATTTTCTGAACCATATGAGGGAAACCAAGAAAAAGGTAAACATCAAATGTATACCTTAGAAACACAAAAGTATCTCCAGCAACTAATCTCTTGGAAGTTGCAAAAGTTCCATCCAGTTGTGAGCAAGTGTCTGCGTGGCTGACCTGGAATAGAAAGGAAAATACATTCAAGGGTAAAACATAAGGCAAATTAGAACTATAAAGTTAAACCAGAAGGAGCCCAAATGAAAATTTGTCATGTCCTTCACCTCTAAATATATGCTTAAAGCGCCATTCATAACCATGAAGATCCTTTTGGTTGGGACATGTCCTGAACAAAATCAAGACATGGTTTTAGTAAACATCACCATGAAACAATCAAGATCTGGTACTGGAAACCAAAAACAACTTCAATAAAAACCAAACATATAGCATTACCAATGGTGGAAGGCATTCAGTTGCATGCTTCCTGAGAACAGAGAAACCACCATGTGTGCTGGTATCAGAGGCAGTTAAGACCTTGCAGAAGGAGTGAATTCTTGGCCTTGGAAGTTCAGCAGGGCATGGATCAGAGCTTGTAGGTTCAGCTTGCTAAGACATTTGTTCCATTAGAAATCTAAACAATGGGAGAAAATAATCTAAGGTTGACCAAGAAAAGTTTTGAGAATCAAAATGGGTAGCTACATCCTTACATTAGATTCCGGCACCAGAGTAATCTGTGCATAAATCTCATCCGTTTCTTGTTCAGCCTAAAAATGTCAAAATTCAAAGTAAGTTTTATTTTTTGCCTCCCCCAGATTACAGAATCACATAAAATATTAAATTATTAATGAGAAACTTAAAACCAAACAGTACATAGCAACCCCAGAAACCAAGATAATCATTTCACCATTTTCTCAGCAACCAAACAAGATTTTTTTCTTAAAATTTTTTTTTCATCAAGAAAAAAAGAAAGAGAAGAAGACTAGATCATGGAGAAAATTACCAGTAAATTGACGTTGACGACACGACAAAGGATCTTTGTAGGAAGTTTGAACAGTGGAATCCTCTGATTTAGTTCCTGATTTGTTGAAACTTCTAACTACAGCCGCAAAAAACATATAAAGTAAAAAAAGCAAGAAAAAAAATTAAAAAAAAAAACAGATAAAAAAGAAAAAGAATCTAACTTAACCAAGCATCATAGACCAACATTTTCAGACAATCTATGACCCCAAAAAAGAAAAAAGAAAAAAAGAAAAAAAAGAAATTGCAACTGTAAATAACGAAAAACTAACTTGTTCCATGTGTCCTTGAGGAAAATAGAAGACCCTTTGACCAGCATGAGGAACTTCCACATGAGGTCCAGCACATGCCTTCCATAGTTGTTCATAGAGCTTATCTTCTTCTTCACCACCACCAACAACACTAACACCACGATTCAACATCATTCATTCAGATGATAACCCAAAAAAGCTGTTCAGTTCAGAGCTTGAACCTCTGTCATCATCATCATCATCTTCATTATATGGGCATGCAAAATTGTAATCGTCATCATCATGTCATGGTGTCACAGATGAAACTGAATTGATTGATGAATAAGCGTTATCATTGAATTTATGAAAAGAAAACAGCTTTTGGAATCGTGTCTGCTATGCTTCCTTCTGCAACCGTTACAGAACTTTTTCTTCTTCTTCTTCTTCTTCTCTCTCTCTTCTCTTTCTTTGTGTAAGGAAACGGCGTTTCTTGGTATCAACCCCACATAACTACTCCGTTGGGTGGTGGTGTCCAATTTATATAACAAGACCATGTTTTTTTGTTGTTTTTTTTTATGGAATTTATTTATTTAATTTCTTTTTTCTTTTTTAAGAGTTGTTTCATTCACCTTGAGGCGAAAGTGCTCCACTGTTCCCTTTATCTGTTTCTAGTTTAAAAAATAAAATAAAATGAATTCATCCGTTTTCAATTTGAAACTGTTTACTTATAAATAAGAGTTAAATTTTCTTCTTCTTTCTTTTAGGTAATAAATTATAGTGGCGACTGGTATGTTAAACGTCACGGTGTACTTAGAAGGACAGGGAGTGGCTAAAAATTTAGCTCCATTAAAATAGCTTTTTTTTGGAGTTACCCGACCCTAATTATCTCTTTGAGACGAGTTGGCTCAACTCCGGTATCCCCACGAGCTTCGACTCTTTGAGCCGGCTATGAGACTAATCCGGAGTGCGGAAAATAGTGATGGCTAAAGGTTCAGCCCCCTGCCCAAAAATGCATTTAGCGGGAATCGAACACATATCCAACCCCACTAACTCAGCGCTAAGTTAGCTCCATTAAAATAGCTTCTAATTATGGTATAGTTTTAAGGATAAAAATGGTCTAAAAAGAAAAATAAAATAAAAAAACTATATTAATTCGAATCAAATTAAAAGAATTGTATTTTTTTAAATTATTTCAAGAACCCAACCAATTTTTCAATCTTAAAACGAATCAAATCACTTTATGTTCGGATTAAAAATTGAACCAAACCTTATCCACTCCCAAAAGTTAAAAAATTAAATGAACTGAACTGAATCATAAATTAAACCAAATCATGTTATATTTTTTCAAATTAATTCAAGAAACAAACAATTTTGTATAAATCAGTTCAAACAACCGAATCATTTTTTATGGTGCAATTCCATATAAAAAAGCAAATCAAATCGAATTGTGCATCCCTAATTAAAATAGGTTATTTAACTTGCAAGAGTGGCCAGATTCAAAATTTTGATTTCCCAACTGGTTGATTAATTATCCCACAAACCCAATTCAAGCTTATTGAAACTCTGCAAGGGCAGATTTCGTAAAACTATTTTTTCTATCCCACAACTCTACTTAAAATCTTTAATCAAGGGAGAACAATCTCCACTTAAATCAATAATTGTTGGCAATTTAGCCTCAAAGAATGTTATGATCTTTAGCATTTTTCTAAGCAACAAGACAAGTCTCAAGCACTGCCCTGAATTGCTGCCACGTCGCCATATATAGACTATGGGCCTATGGCTACTTAAGGATTTTATACAATTGAAAAGAGCACAACTCCCGAATGATAAATGGTCTGTTTGGAAAATATCACATCCCTTTTATATGTGTACGATGAATACCTGAAATTAGAGGGGGGGGTGGGTTGTGAATTATAAGTCCAATGGAGATTGGGTTAGACCATACGCACTTGAACCTAGGGGTGGCAATATGGGTTGAGCCCGGCGGGTCAACCCGCCAACCCGCCAAAACGGGACGGGTTGGGTTGAGATTTTCAACCCACCAACCCACCTCAACCCGCCCCGCCTAGAAGTGGGTCAAAACGGGTTCAACCCGCCGCGGGGCGGGTTGACCCGCCGGGTTTTAAATTTTTTTATTTTTTTTATTTTTTTACAATTAGGTAGTATTTCATTAGTATTTAAATTTTTGTGATATTCAATTTTTTTTTATCTTAGTACTTTCTAGAAAAAATAAAGAATAACTATTTTATTTATGACAAATGTTATCTATTTATAAATTCCTAAAGAATGTTTGACAAATATTAGTATACATTTAAGATTGAAACTAAAAAAAATATAGAGAAATGTGAAATAAAATAAAATAATATTAAAAAAATTCATAAAATATAATTTATTTTTGAATTTTAATTAAATTTTTATTAATTGGCGGGTTGGTGGGTTGACCCGCCAACCCGCCAACCCACCATAAAACGGGGTGGGTTCATTTTTACAACCCATATTTTTTGGCGGGTCAACCCGCCCCGCCCCGTTTTTAGCGGGTTGGTGGCGGGGCGGGGCGGGTCGGGGCGGGTCAACCCAAATTGCCACCCCTACTTGAACCGGCTTTTTGACCTTAGTAGGTTAATTTTCATAAGGTTTTACCGGAATAATTTCTTGATCAAAAGTATTACTTATATAATGCATAACGACGCGGTACCATAGGAATCACGTTAGGACGTGACACTTTAGCAACCACGTTCTTTGCATTTGTTCCTGACGACTGGAACGTGATACCCTGACAATCACGTCCTATTCCCAAGACTACTGGAACGTGATACCCTGGCAATCACGTCCTATTTCCAAGACGCGGTACACTCTCAGCCGCGTGTCAGTGCGTCCCATCCCAAAAAAAAATCAATAGAAAGCGGTAGTGTATATGCCGCGTTCCAAGTTACAAGTCAAGTCGGAGTCAAGCACATATATATGTTTCACCTAAAATGTAGGCATATTGATATATTCATTGTAAAAGAGTTCATAAAATCCAATAAATCAAATAGTACCCAATCTTATATCCCTGTTTTGTGTTTGGTCTGCTTTCCTGATTTCCAATATGTGAAAGAAACAATTTAATCCAAAATTTTAACGTGATGAGTGAGAGTTTTTTTAATGATTTATATTAAGGTAAACAAAAAAAATAGAATCTATGCAAAATTCATACTTCAAGCCCAAAGGGCTTTCGTATGAGTGAGTGTGTAAGTGAATAACTTGTTACTTTTATTGGATTTTTGGAACTCTTTTACCGTGAATATATCAATATGTCTAAATTTTAGGTGAAATATATATATATGCTTGACTCTGACTTGAATTGTAACCTGGAACGCGACTTATACATTACCGCTTCCTGTTGAATTCTTTTTGGGATGGGACACACTGACACGCGGCTGAGAGTGTACCGCGTCTTGGGAATAGGACGTGATTGCCAAGGTATCACGTTCCAGTAGTCTTGGGAATAGGACGTGATTGCCAGGGTATCACGTTTCAGTCGTCAGGAACAAATGCAAAGGACGCGGTTGCTAAAGTGTCACGTCCTAACGTGATTCCCATGGTACCACGTCGTTATGCATTATATAGGTAATACTTTTGATCAAGAAATTATTCCGGTAAAACTTTATCAAAATCAACCTACTAAGGTCAAAAAGCCCACTTGAACCTGATCCAATAACAAGTTAGATTTTGAGAAAAGATTGTTTTGTGAGATGCTTAAGCAGATTTCTTCTGCGGAATAGAGTTTGATGTTTGGTTGCTTTAATTAGCTAGGACAAATGTAGGGTACCAACAAGATGGTCATATATTGGCTTCAAGTCCTTGTTATATAGTTGTTGATTGTCTTGCTTATGCTATCTTAGTATGAAAATTTTTAACCTCATTGGTGGAATGAAGTGACTTTTGTAGACTATCTCGTATGGAATAGGTTTAGATCAATACCCTACAAATTTTTACATATATATATATATATAGAGAGGATATTCTAACTACCAAAAATTCTTACTACTAACTTACTACCCATCACATCACCATTGGATCAAAGAGAGAATGTTAAAAAATTTCTGAAGAGAGAGAAAATGTTAATCTAATGGTGATTAGATAGGTAGTAAGTTGGTAGTAGAAAATTTTGGTAGTGAGAATATATCTCCTTCTATATATATATATATATATATATATATATATATATATATGGGCTTATCGTTTTTCAAGTTGCTTGAGATAACTTTATCTCCGGCTACGAAATCATAATCGTACAAAGATGGATCAATGGTGATAAAGGAATAGAGCAAAAATGAAATCATAATCATTCAAAGGTGAATCAATTAATATAAGGAAATAAAAAAATGACATAGTTTTTGAGTGGACGGATATAAGTATATCTCAAGCTGCTTGAGAAAAAATTATTTCTATATATATATATATATATATATATATATATATATATATAAGGGTAGGATTCTTTGACACCAGTATCAAAAAAGATCAATGGTGTCACATGCTTACAAATCAGAGTCATTGGATGCACGAAAATCAGGATCAATGACTTCCTAAATTATAACTGTTGGATGCACGGAAATCAACAGTTGAGATATGGTGTAAGACTTATTAGTCTTACATCGGTGTAAAATGATCCTGATCCTATATATATATATATATATATATATATATATATATATATATATATATAGGGATTTACATTTCTGCAGCTGTTGTACGTGCAGCAATCAAATACTTGCCATATATATACGTGTAAGAATTAAATGCAGGGAAATCATAATCATACAAAAGATAAAAGCATTAAATGTGGAGAATCATAACCATACACCTGTCATTGCTGTACGCAAAGCGGCTGCAGAAATGATTTTACCATATATATATATATATAATATCATTTGACACCGTTGTCAAACTAAAAAGTTTCACATCAAATCTTAGTCATTAATTTCCGTCAATATAATGGTAATAATTTATTGTGAATTAATAATTAATTAATAAGAGTGACCTAATAAATTATACCCATTAGATTTACAAAATCAATAATTAAGATTTGATGACAAAGGATCATGCCCATATATATGTATAAAAGCTTACAAATTTGAATCAATCAATAAATTCAGAAGTGAAGGATACTTTTCAAATTAGGACAATCTGTTGTGGACCCATATAAGGCCCATATATTTGAGAGGCCCAACAAAGGATGGATTGTTGAACAACATACATATAGCAGATCGGGCCCAAGGGAAGGAGGCCCAAATGGTTCAAACCCTAAGGTAAGTACTATAAATAGGAGCTAAAGACAACAGATATGAACTAATCTCTCTCTACTATTATTACGCAATCATAGTGCACACACCACCGCTATTTTGGCTAAGGCATCATAATCGTGTACAGTGATTTGCTACCCTCAAGATACGTAGTTTATAG